ACCCTGGCGGGCCGGGCCAGTTTATTTACCTGCTGACGCGGCAGGTTTGGCCGATCGCGGCCCCCAGTGGCCGCAGTTCACCGTCCCGGGCCAATGGGGACGGCAGGAAGCCGCGGCCAGCACATCCCTCGCCCGCGCCGCTTCTCGCCGCCCCCATTGGCCCGGGATGGCGAACCGCGGCGAGTGGGGGCCGCGATCGGCCGAACCTGCCGCGTCAGCAGGTAAATAAACTGGCCCGGCCTGCTAGGGTGCTTACCCTGGCGAGCCGCGTGCCAAACGTTGCCGACCCCTGCTCTATGTGCTTACAAAGTGATTGTTTAATCATTTCTTCCACCATCTTTCCAGGTATTGAAGTTACACTGCATGGTCTATAATTTCCTAGGTCTCCTTTATTCCCCTTTTTAAAAGGTAAGTATTATATTTGCCCTCCTCTAGTCCTCTGAGATGTCACTGGTCCTCCATGACTTCTCAAAGATAATTGCTAACAGTTCCAAGACTGCTTCAATTAGATCCCTAAGCACCCTATGATGAACTTCATCAGACCCTGCCCAACTTGAATACATCTAACTTACTTAAATATTCTTTAATCTGTTCTTTCCCTATTTCAGCTAGCATTTCTTCCCTTTGTTGTTAATATTAATTTTGTTGAGTATTGCTCACCATTATCCTTTTTAGTGAAGACTGAAGCAAACTAGACATTAAACTTCACCCAGCTTCTTTCCTAGTACAAAGCAGAAATATTTATTCAATGCTTTTGCTTTCTTTCCATCATTATTGACAATTTTTCCATACCTACTTAGTAATGGATTTATGACTTTCCTAGGATTTCATTTGCCCTTGAAATACTTCTTAAAAGTCCTTCCTGCACTATGTGCCAGTTAAGGCTGCACACATTACATATCTAATATAAAAGTCTCTAAAGCAAGGAAATGAAAAGTTCAGCCATCTAACAGTACATGCCCTTTATAGCTCTACCCAGATTCACAATCTCATAATTCAACTCACAAATGTCTTCTATCTTAAGTACACCTCTACCCCGATATAATGCGACTCGATATAATACAAATTCAGATATAACGCGGTAAAGCAGTGCTACGGGTGGGGGGAGGGGGGGCGCTGCGCACTCCGGCGGATCAAAGCAAGTTTGATATAATGCGGTTTCACCTATAATGCGGTAAGATTTTTTGGCTCCCGAGGACAGCGTTATATTGGGGTAGAGGTGTATATATATGGCCCCATAATCATGGTTTCTGAGCACCTCAAAATCTTTAATATATTTATCCTCACAACACCCCTGCGAGGTAGATAAATATCATCATCCCCATTTTACAGATGAGGACTTGAGGCACAAAGAGACTAAGTGACTTGCCCAAGATCACACAGGGATTCTGTGGCAGACCAGGGACATGAACCCAGGACTCCCGTATCCTAAGCTGGTGCCAAAACCACTGGAACATCCTTCCTCATTCTATCCTTCCTTATATTTATCTGAGTAATAGTATCCACAAAGATTATATACATCCAATAATGGGTATTCATCCACCCCATGCCACAGAACGATCCAAAAGGGTATGCTGCAAGTCCACTAGTGGTTCAGGGTTCAAGAGGGAAGGCAGAAGAGAGGAATGCTCAAAAAGGGCAATTTCAGTGGCATATAGCCATGAAAACTTTCAATATACTGTAAAGTATGCACAGTATAAACACTTTACTGGTTAATCTTCAAGAGCTATAGCATTCACCACTAATTGTCAGTAGTTGGTTTAGGGGTTTATATATGATGAAAATTTGAGGCAGTAGGTTCTCTCTTTATACGTATTTATTACCTCCTAAAAGTAATAAGTTTCATTTCTAAGGGTGGCATTTTAAAGTACCATTGTTCAGCGTATCGGTATTTAAGATTTAAGTCACACTGCCTCCATTATGCTGGGCACTATACCAGCACAAAGTAAGATCCCCTCCCCAAAGAGTTTGTAAACCTAAGACCTTGGTCCTACACAAAGAACTGTGTTGGAGGAACCCTGTGCCCATGCAAAATCCCACTGAAGTCAATGGGGCTCCAGACAGGTGTAGGACAGAGTCTACCTACACTCTGGATTGGGGCCTAAGAAGGCAAGCGATATAATAGAGGAAGAAGGGGGGAAATACTAAATGAAAAACAGGTCTACTCAGAACATTGTAAATACTCCACAGCTTCCCCATAACATACCTGTCTTTTAAAAACAAAAAGGCCACTTTTCTCATGTGGCCCTGACCCCTTTATAAGAACAAAATTGGGAAGTTGTTTCTCAAAATTGTTCTAATTAGTTGCAAAAACAACCATAGTTTATTTTGAAAACATGAATAATGAACCTAATTGGTATATATGCTTTCCATAGTAGCTCCTGTAAAGTGAAATTAAGAATACCTACCTCCATTTTCTTCTCCATTACTATTGTTTGTCTCAGCCATTTCAGTGCCATCTAACTCAGATTCACATCCTAAATCCAATGTTCCATCTGCTGGGCATGTAGATTCTTCTTTCTGCAGTTTAAAAAAAAAAAAAAAAGGAAAGGGGGGGGGGGGGAAGAGAGGAGAGAGAAAAGAAAAATAATGTAAGGCCAGCCACAAAAAATGTTTATATTACTGTTAGGTTTCCCCAATGGTAAAACTGTTGCAACACATTTGGGTGTCTACATTTCAAAAACTAATCTGCTTCCTGCATAAGTTACTTTATGGAAAGAAGTAAAACATGATCTTTACGAGATAGCTCTTTTAGCTTTTGATTTTCAAGTTATCCTGTAAAAAGTCACAATTTAGACTTTTATAAAAAGAGTTATAAATCAAAATGCACTTCCTTTCACTTTTTGTGTTTGAACAGACTTGTTTGGCACTTAAAAATTCTAGTCATCTAGCTGAACGTCCTAAGTGCTGCAAGAGAAACACAAATCCTTTAATGTTTCTCTTTTGCCTGTGCCTGTTTCCTGAATTCAAATAGCTGCAGCAACCTGGAACTCACAAGCCATGGGAATGATTGCAAATACCTGGTTTCGAGCCAGGGATATCTTCAGATTTAAAACAAGACCAAACTAAACATTCTTCCATTAGCAAATGAGAAAATGATTATTCTGAAATCCATTCATTGTTAACCAAAAAATAGTGCATTTTTAGTTCTAAGGAGCAGCATTATCCATACTGCTTTTATTGTTTCTAAACTGTGCACAATTATTTTTCTATCACAAATATCAAAGAATTTCCTCCAAAACTTCAATAGATTAAATCTAGTCTGTAGAACATGTAATTTCACATTATTGTTTTCTTGCCCCTACTTCACCCTCCTCCCCAGTATGAAGCCAGTATAGTTTGATCATGGGTATCAGAGGGAAAAAAATGTTTTTTTCCAACCAGCACAACACATAAAAACACAACACACAAGAGAAAACCCACAACTACAACCATCACCACCACTTAGTATCAAACCACTCAGGATTTTATCACTGTAATTATATTCCTGATTTAAAATAAACTGTAACTTAAAAGCTGCTTACACTGAACTTGCAAAAGTCTTCCACTGTTCAAAAAATTAAATATTAACACAATTACTTCATGAGAAAGTCAGTGATCTTCTTGAACTCACTGCTTATAAAACAAAGGCCTTTCTGTTAACAACTCTACAGCATGGTTTTCTTACCATACGCCAAATTCAAGAATACATATACTCTTTGAGATAAAACATTCAGTGTTTACTTTCATTATAAGACATCTGAAAACAGTTAGAAAAGACTTTCAGCTCATCTACTCACACAGAATCTAATTTGTTTACCTTTATATCTATTGAGACATACATGGCGCTATTAATCCACTTTATGTACTCTGTATATGCAAAAATTCAACTTACTTTGAGAGCATAGAGTCCCGACTTCCCAGGGATTTTGAAGAATGTTCCATCACCTACACGAGTGTTAGTATGAAGCATTGCATTCAGACAAGCTAATGGAGAGGTTCCACTGAAAAATAAAATTGTGCAAAAATAAAGCAGTCCAAGATCGAGTGCCTCTTGTAAAACTATTCCCTCTGTCTTTTTTTTTTTTTAAACTCATGCTTGCCTTGCCTTTTTTTTAAATTCTCCCAACCTTGAAAACATCTACATTACAATAACAGGCCAGTTTCAAACTTAATCATATGCATCTGTCCCCTAGGCTTCAGGCAAAAAGTCTGTGAATTATAATTATGCTTTTCTTCATACAGCAACCAGCTCCACATTCTAAAGGAACCAAAGTCCAAATATTTATGTGAAATTACTTCACAAATAACACCATGAAGCCTCATTTTCAAAATGTTACCGACAACGTGGCTGCTGCACATGAATGATCAAAACAGTACCAAGTTCAAGGGCAGCTGCATCCCATAGGATGAAAGGCAACAAAAGAATAATAATAAAGAGCCCAGGAAGAACATATTTAAACTTACAGGAGTTAAAGTTATTTAGGACAGTATTTTCCTAAAATGGCCAACCTAAGTTACTATAGAAACATACACACACATATTTTATACTTTTAGTGGAGCAGTAATTATATGCAATATCATATTGGAATGCACTTTAAAGTACCTTTTAAAAATGGTCAGATAAAATCAATACCTTCACACAGTGTTTAATTTGTACAAATATCTTTATGTGATGTATACACAGGGCTAGATTTTACATGGAAGAGAAAAACAAAGCATGCATTTTTGCTCTGGCTAAATTCATATTATTCTGAAAAGTTAATTTGGGGAATAGTGAGGGTGCAGGGAGCGCTCACAAACTTATCCTATTTCATATTAATGGAACTAAAATTAACTACAGTGTTTATAGGTGTACTGTCATCATATCTATCTCCCCATACACATTGCTGTACTTATGATTAGAGACTGAACTTCCAATTGTGTTTCTTCACATAGACTCCAATCTTGCAAACACACATGCTTAACTTTATCCACATAAACAGTCCCATTGACTTAAAAGTAACTAATCGTATGTGTAAAGTTATGCATGTGTGTTTGCAGGACTGAGGCTACACCCAGCAAAATACTGGGCCTGGAACTTAAAGTAATGTGCTTCAGTTAGACAATACAAAAAGTCTGCAGGAATTATGGTTCAGGAGTCCATTATACAATTTTTAATTATACTGGTCCCTATTCAAAACTGTTTTTGGTAGATTTTATTGGTAGGAGCTAAATTCTGTCCTCTGATGTGCACACTGTTCCTAATGAGTTCAATGGTTGCATCTCAAAGCAGAATTTGTCCATAATGTATATACACCTCTACCCCGATATAACGCGACCCAATATAACACGAATTCGGATATAACCCGGTAAAGCAGTGCTCCGGGGGGGGAAGAGAGGGCAGGAAAGAGGGGCTGTGCACTCCGGCGGATCAAAGTAAGTTCGATATAACGCGGTTTCACCTACAACGCGGTACGATTTTTTGGCTCCCGGGGACAGCGTTATATCAGGGTAGAGGTGTACATTAATTTTCTGACAAGATGGATTATATGATCATTTATTTGCTGTTCCAGTAAAAGCTCATAAGTAGTTCATTATAAGATGTCCTCATATCAGAACAGCTGTATAATATAATTTATTATAGGTTACCTAAAATACCATATTACCACAATATTTACTTCTGTATTGACTTTCAGACAGTGTACATACTGCTTCTTCATTAAAAATCAATACTACAGCTAAAACTGCTGCTTATAGAGCTTCATGTCAGCTATTAAATGGTGAATTTTAAAACATACAACATAACATTTTTAAAGGATTTCTTCTTTAAAATTTTTATTTTTCCTGCAAATAAAAAGAATCCTACATGTGATTTTGAGCTGATATAATACTATGTGGTCAGTCTAGGAATGTGAGTAAATTACAAGTACAGTTATTGTACTAGCTGTAAAGTAGAATATATTAAAATATCTTGTTACTGTTTGAAGATCAGTGAACACAGAGGTCAAATAAGATGCACGCCTTTTCTCTAGAAATGTTCTTATTGAATTACTGGTTCACATACAGTGACATATGGCATTTAACTGAGCAATGCAAGACCATTTTTCTCAAGTTACATTTTTTAGGTGATAACATATATAACTTGAAGCTACTGATAATTATGTCAGATGCTTGGAGCTTCTATTTAGTGAAGCTGTCAAAAATGAAGACTATTTCAGCAGGATACTGATAGGAAGATGCTAACTGCAAAGGCAGCTGAATTCTATGCATGGAATAACAAAATAGAGTTGTGTGTGTCTATATAATACTCAAGTTTGCATTTAGCATCTTTCTTCTAATTTCTGCTGCTGGTCCATCTAGAGAGTTTTTGGTCACAATACTTGTGTTTAGATATCTCATCATTAGGCAATTAAAATAATACAAGATAAATGAACTCAAAATATAGAACTCTCCCCCAATGGCCACTATTGTTCTCACAGCAGGTATCTTAATCTTCAAATACTGGCCAATTGGTAAATGGACAATAGTAACCATTTTCTGAGTACAAAGGAATCCATGTCAGCTACTGAGCAGTAAGTACATGTATCTGATGTGCCAACTTCAAGAATCCCTATATTAGCTCCCCTCCTGTAGAACACCAAGAGGGGGAAAGTGGAGATCAGACCAATTCTCCTTGTGTGGAAGTTGAACTGTATAAACCTCAGGAGACACTTGCCACGTACATCATCGGAAAGCACCGGGCTGCATCCTGAAAACCCAATGACCAAAGATCCAATCATGCAGTGTGGTGTCAGCTGAGTGGAACTGAGTCTGAATATTACCCTAGTTTGCTAGGGATGCATGAAACATATAATGAGCACTCCAACCTTCCCGCCTTCTTGAAGGCCACACTCCTCTTTTCACAGGCTACCACTCTATCGTCTTTGTGGTAGAGAGAGTCAAGGCTGCAGATGCCCAAGAGTATCTTAAAAAGCTACACGGCTGTTTTCCCCTTTCACTAGGTCTTTCCTAGGCATTTTGTGACTTCCCCTGCCACTATTTTATTCCTTGCATGTCAAACAGAAGATACTCAAAAAACTTTGGGTCAAATTGTATCAGAATCAGTTCAATTTTGACCAAGTTGCACATCGTGCCTTGGTATTTATGGCTCTAAAAGAGCCACATGTTTTAAACCTACATATTGAAAAATGTTTGTTACTATAAATCAGCATACATGAAAATTATTTTACATTTTAAAATAGGGTGACCAGACAGCAAATGTGAAAAATCGGGACCGGGGTGAGGGGTAATAGGAGTCTATATAAGAAAAAGACCCAAAAATTGGGAATGTCCTTATAAAATCGGGACATCTAGTCACCCTATTTTAAAATTACATTTTATACTATCCAGAAAACTATTTTGCTATTACGAAAAACATTCTTGAGTACTTTCATCTGTAATAATATATGTCTTTAAGGTGGGTATTTCCTGTTATCACAAGAAAACCGATTTACTCACACACACAAAAAACAAGCACTTTTAGAAAATACTTTCAAAAGTATAAAATATTTTAAAAGATACTTACTTCCTATAAAGGAGATAGGGAGGCACGAAGCAACCACATACAAAACAAGAAAGAAAAAGAATAATTGGTTAGTCTTCCAATACAAAAAGGCGTTATGACTTTTTGATAATTTAACAGATATCGTCAAGTAGTTTAGGATGCAAAATTTGTTCTTTTCTAAAACAGTTATGATTTAGAAGAACACAAGTTCTTAAACACTGTGTGATATCTTCCTCCTAATATGCACACAAACTTCCATTTACCAGGGCAAGCTTCCCCTTTCTCCCCTCAAAAAGTATCCTGTATTTTGTGCTTTTGAGCTCCCTCGCCAGGTTCTGCAGCAGGAATTAACTAAATTAACCCTCTGCAAGCAGACAAGAAAGAAATCTGACTACTAAGTTCAATTATCCTCCATAAAACATCTGGGAGAATTGAAGAACAATTTTTGCCACAGAGAAAAGGACAAAAGTCAATACAAACAGGGTTTTTTTAAGATTACTAAGCACAATGAAAAATATGTTTAAATAAATTAAAACCTCTTAAAAACCTAAAGTTGTAGCCTCCATTTAATTTTAATCATCTTTGCTAGATGGATTGCCATGAGAAAGATGGCTTGCCAAAGTACACTATTTTAAAAAAAGGGAAATTAATTGATTAAATTCAATTTAAACAAGTACAGCATAGCAGACAAACATTTCCCCACACTGCCCAGCCAGTGTACCTCAACTGCAGAAGAAGGGAGGCCACCAGTAGCAACAAAAAGAGTCCAGCCATTATGAACATGCAGATTTTTGTTTAGGCCTCTTTATCAAATTAGTAACAAGGGTGTCACTTAGTTCCAAGTCTGATGACAATTTCTATAATATGGACACCTGATCGCTGCAAATGGTACTAAAATCACCAATTCATTTCACACAGGCAACCAAACAGCCAACAGACACTAACAACTTTTGACCGCTACTAGAAACAAACCAAAAGTGAAAGCTCCATAACTCATTACTAATTCCTAGAGCTAACACAGCGCCATCTCTCTTGCTTCTACAGAATATTTGAATAATACTAGAGATTTACCCTACACTATAAATAAATTAAACTAATATTTTTTCAATATATATGGCAGCCAGAAATGCAGGGGGAAGCGTTGACTGAGCATGTTGTTTGCCCATGCACATTGTAAAGCAACACATATGGGGCCTGATCCAAAGGCCTGTTAAAGGCAGTGGAAATACTTTAATTGACTTCATGCAGCTTTGGATCAAGCCCTTCCGTACACAGTAGCAATCAGCATGAGGTTATTACCCCTCTCCTCTTCAAGAACTAGCTGACACAAAACTTAAAGTGACCAAAACCATTTCAACTAGGAAAAATACACATGAACATGCACACAGCTCTGATCCCGCAAACGTCTCCATCTAGTCAGACCCAAACTCCCTACAGGATCAGGGTAGGGACATTTTCTAGTTTTCAACTATATTTGCT